GCTCACTCAAAGCAACGTCGTCCTGGACACACTCCACAGCCCGATAATTAATCTTAAGTCTCCATGCGTCTGGATCCTCTTGGGCCGTTTCAGCGGCAGGATCTGAGCATGGCTGCTCTGCGATTTTCTTTGGCACTAGTGGCCGAACGCCTTTCATGAGGTCGCTGCGTACTCTCTCCTCGTCCTTTTTCGTCTTAGGCGCCTTAATTCCCAACGCACCAAATAGCAGTCGTTTTCCTGCACCAAGGTCCAACTTTGCTCGTCGCGAGGACATGGGTTGTTTCGACTCAGCAGAGGCTGGCGGAGGCTGTGGAGATGCCGGAGGACTATCGACATCTGCCATTTCTAGAGCTATCGAAGAATTTGCCGTCTCAGTTTCCGTACCACCATTATTTGGCGTAGTTGCAGGGTGTTCAATGCCATCAAACGAAACCACAGCCGGATCGGCCATCTCCTGTGATGCAACGACTAGCTGTGACTCGGCGATCGTCGGCTGTTCGACATTATCAGTGAATTCGCACTGCAAGTCGACGCTGTCCTGCAATTCTACCGTATGTTGAGTCTCAATTACTTGCTGGGATTGCAGAGCATCTCCAGCAGGTTCTTCCAACCCGGTCATCTCAGCATCGTGGCCAGATTCAGCAGGTAGCGATTGACTGGCTGTTCTCGAAAACTTCGAATCTACTTCAACGCCACCAGTTGCAACAGATTCAAGTAGTTGTTGTCTGCGACGTTGAAACTCAGGGTCATGGCTTAAGGGCGGACGTGTCTGTTCACTTGTTTGGTTGGGAGTTCTACCGGCTTTGACTTCTTCCAAGGCAGCGAATGCAGTTTCCGCGGGTGTCGTCTCATCTACATCCAGCTTTTTGTATTCAGTCAACTGTGTTCCAGCCGGCAGTATTCCTTTCTTGATCAGCCTGTTCAAGACGTTCGCATTTCTCCTACGCTGGTTTCTTGCATGTGTCCGAGTTCTCCCTTGCCCAGGAGATATGCCCGATTGAACCTCTGACTTATTGGCCTGAGACGGAGGTGTTGTTTTGGGGATAGCAGGGGCAGGAGCAGTAGCAGTTGACTCTTGTTTGCTTGATTTCTCCTCAGGAGACTCGTCGTCATCACTCGAGGAATCACTGCTGCTCTCGCTTTCACTCTCTGAGGACGATGTATCATCATCCGATCCCTTTGCTTCCCCATTTTCCTCGTCAGAAGAGTCACTACTATCCTCACTACTGCTAGCATCTTCCTCGTTAGACTCGGAGCTCTCATCATCGCTATCTTCTTCACTTTCCTCTTCCTCCTCGACTTGAGACTCTTTGTCTATGAATGGGGTCGAGGTAAGACCTTTCGAGAAATTGGGATCCAAAGCAAACCTGACGCTCTTATTGCTGGTGACTGAGGCTGATCTCCTTGGCTCTGCAAGTGGTCGAATGGACGAGCTTTTCAGAGCCTCTGCCATGACTGATAGAGCTTTGCCAGATCTGTTAGATCCTGGAGGAAGTCCATTTTGGTCGTAGTAATCGATAAGTGCGTTCTCGGCAGGCTCGACCTGCATGCTGTCCACAATTTCTGGCTCATGGACCGAGGGCGTCTTTGACTTTGACCCGGTTTTAAGGACTGACAGTTTATTTTCATTGACTCCTTGCGAAATCTCAGTAATCACACTCTTTGGCTTCTCGGGTATGAAGCCTCGAGCCATGGCTTCATAGGCTTCTCCAATATCTTCTGAGCCATTGAAGACATACTTGCACACAGCCAAAGGCGATTTAGGAAACGCGGAGTGCAACTTACGGATCTGGGCTCGCGTAACCTGGTCCTCTATGTCCGCAAGGGCAGGCTCGTTGGCGTTGTCGGCAGCACCGTCGTTAGGGGTTGAATCGATAGGAGGTTCTCCCTCTTCTTCTAGCTCTCCCTCCTCGATGTTTCCCTCAAGATCTTCCTCACTTCCTTCCTCTTCATCTGCATCTTCATTTTCTCCAGGGGCGAAGTCATCATCGTCCTCTTCGTCATCATCCTCAAAATCGGCGTGTAGGACGAGTTGGCGATTATTTTCCGGCTCCTCGTCATCAGCCTCTTTTTCTTTGAGAGCCTTGTATCCTTCAGTGTCTCCGTCATCTTCATTGTATTCGATTCTTTGCCTCTTCCGTGGCGGTATATTGACAGCAGGTCGGTCGCCGGCTTTTCTCAATAGTGGTCTGCCCCATGGAACGCCGTCAACAAGATGCCTACCATCTGTAGATATCTGCACGCGTCCAGAAACTCGACGGATCTTGATATCTTGGCTGAGGAGAGGGCGTATTCTAGGAAGGGTGAGTCCATGGACCAAGAGTGCACCACACCAAAAGTCGAGGCAGAATGGGATACGAACATCACTTCGTCTTCATCTTTGATTACGCTAGCCAAATGCTGGAAATGAAGACATTCGTAGTTGGCTCCAGTACTGCCTTTGACTTCGACAGCGTAGTCATCCAGGCCCCATTGGCCATCTGACTCGATTGGTATAGTGTCGTTTACCTGCTCGAGCAGATGGTAAACGGTGGGATTAGAGGTGGTGTCAATTGCCCAAATCACGAGCGTATCCGGAAGGCGATGACGTCGGACTGTCAAGCGTAGCCTCATGGCGACGGCTGTTCACGTCGCGAATGGAATGTAAGGGCCCGGAGAGTGGCACGGTAGAGTGTGGGGAAAGGTTCAGAAGTTGTCTCTGGCGGGACGTGACGACGCGAAGAAAGCTGAAAGTTCGCGTTTGCAAGCGAGCCGTGCCCCACTAAAAGGAAAACGAGATTAGGCCTGTTTGGGCCAGCTACTGTAATGCCCGCATGAGCTCGATATGATAGCTTCATTGTAGTTTCTTTCTTGGTGAGCATTCTGCGTCATCCGGGCAACCCGTCTTTCGACTTCTGGTTTTATTCGAGACAGAGCCATTAATTGAGGTCTACGCCAACAGCTCTAAAGCAGGGAGCGAGACTTATGCCGTCTTGAGGCAGAGGATAAATACACTCCAAGTGCCGAGGTAGGTTGCGATAAGCAACAGACAAGTGCTACGATCATTGAACTCACGCTTTAGGTATCCATCTTCCAGCTTCGATCCCCGCATCAATTCAGTCTCTATCTCTCTCCAGATTGCACAGACTAAAGATGTCCTGCCCAGCATGTTTTCAAGGAGGCGTTTCGACAAGCCATCCTACGGGCAAAGAAACCACCATACACGGCCTTCCTACTTATGTTGCAGAGCCAGAAGAAGGAGTCACACCCAAGGGTGTAATTGTCTTCATTACTGATGCCTTCGGTTGGGACTTCGTGAACAACAGGGTCCTGAGTGACCATTATGCAAAGCGTGGAGGATTCTTGGTGTACACTCCCGACTTCATGAATGGTAGCGCCACCCTGCTCTTTCTAAGAACTATTTTGACCTCCCAATAGGAAAGTCTCTGGACCCCAGTGTTCTTCCTCTTATGGATAAAATTACGGAGCCCGGATCATGGCTCAACGCATTCGTCTGGAAGCCTCTGTATGTCCTACAAGCAATGTATCTTGCATTGCCTTGGGTATACAGAACCCGATTCGCCGTCACTCAACCCCGTGTCTTCTCTTTCGTGAAAGCTCTGCGAACCTCCCCACCACCATTCGAAACAAACAATCTCAAGATCGGCGCTGCTGGCTTCTGCTGGGGTGGTAAACACGTGATGCTACTCGCAGCCGATACTCCGTCATCTCGAGTCTATAGACACGAATCACAGGTCACTTCATCAACTCTAGAGCCTTTGATCGACTGTGCTTTCACGGCCCATCCTTCGTCGATTAAAGTCCCTAAGGATATTGAAGCTATCACTATCCCGACAAGCGTGGCTGTTGGCGAAAACGACATGGCTATGGGAGCACCGTTGATCCAACAAATGAAGGATATTCTTGAGAACAAGAAGGTGGGCGAGCATGAAGTTGTCATAATTCCAGGCGCGAAACATGGCTTCAGTGTTCGTACACATCCAGAAGATAAGCACGAAATGGACTGTGCTCAGCAAGCTGAAGACCAAGCTATTTCGTGGTTTGCTAAATGGTTCAGCTAGTCATCGTTGTCATTACGTGGAAGTGAAAGGTTTGATATTTCTGAACACTTTATGAAGTCGTACATGGTTAAGATTGCACAACATGCACATTTACGTATCTGCAATGGAAAGATGTATTTACACAGTAGTCAAGTTGATTCCTCGTATGTTCTTCTGGCCCACAAATGCACCCCAATCCCTCACCATCCCGATAGGTGTGTACCCTAAATGCCCTCAAATCTGACCTTCTTCGGACTCTCCACTAGCACATTCTTTTCGCGATACCCAAAGATCCAACAGATGAGATCAAAGATACCACGGATCAAAGCCCAAATTAAGCCCACCAACCTAAAAACTAAGCCCGCCACCCACCTCCAAACAAGCTTGAGAATCTTGAAACCTGACCATAGACAAACGAGACTCAGAAAAGCGAGCCCAACTCCTGAGGCTGCAAAGAAGAGGCTCCAGAGAAGACCCGGCAGGTTGAAGAACAGGGTGAAGAATACTACTGAGATCCATCCTGCAATGATGCTAAGACCTAGGACGAAGATGCTGATGAGGATGAACATTTTGCTGGCTGAGGATTTGAGATGTATAGACCGAAATGAGAATGGATAAGGAGCGCCGTCGTTTTATTAGAAGGGAAATGTAACGAGAGAATGATCAAGGGGTTGTATAGATTTTGTTTTGAAAGAAAATCTGCAAGACAAAGAAAGCAACATCATGAATGCATAGATGAGAGGTTGAAAATTCAGACAGAGAGAACAAAGATCGTTGCATCTCACTGAGTTCCCTCTTTAGGCGTTGGAAACCAGTACAGACATGTTTTCATCCGTTCTTCACCACCAACCCCTCTCACCGGCCTCGCCTGCCAACCCCCCCTATCCGAACATGGATCCACTTTCGTCACGATTCGGTTCATACATAGCAGAATAACGACTTCTTCAACAATAATTTGTGGGCCTGTTGGCGCATCGGTAGCGCGTCTCTGAGCAACTACCTCTTCTTCCCGTGTACATAGAGCTCTTGGGCGATTTTGGATAGGGAAGTAAGTAGCTCGATGGAGAAGGTAGCGGGTTCGACTCCTGCACAAGCCAAACATAGCCTTTTTTTTAATTTTTAATTTTAATTTTAATTTTTCGCATTGCTCGTGACTAATAGCAAGAAAAGAGAGCCTGTGGCTTTTAGCCTTTTAGAGCAAGAAGGTTGTGGTTGAGTGGCCCTTTTTTGCACTTTGCTGAAATTTGAGAGCGATCTAAGCGAGTGCCGATCACATAGCATATCAAGTGAGTGTTCAAACCGTAACAGAAAATTGCCAAAAGCAAGGCAAGCAAGCTACTGGTTTCACGGTAACCATTGTACCTGACATTGTGGAACATTCAACAAATAGAAGGTGCCAGAGATAGCAAAGCATTGGTGAGCATCTTTGAGCACACAAGAAAGCGGAACGGCAAGGCAAGAAACAACGGCACGATGACATAATTCAATGCTAGAGTAGACTGAACGAGGTGCTAGCACAATTTCAAGAAGAGTATTGGAAGGGCAATTGCCAAGGACAAACAACGAGTTCCAGCCTGTCAAGTAGATTAACGAAGTTAAGCTTCCGGGTATTGCCCTGTCACGGAACACACACAAAGTAGTTGTACAATACTCGTCTTCTCCAGACACAACGAATTTATTCCAGTGCCAATCTTTCTACAAACCCTCTTTGGCAAGCATATCTGCAATGTCAAGGTAGAACGCAATGGCATTGAACCTGTCCACAAGTCAGCGTACAAACCACGATAATCTGCAATTAAACCTACTTCCGCTCATTACCGCTCAGCTGCGAAACAGCCCACTTGATTCTATTTGTCCAATTGATCAAGTCCAAGTGAGACACGTTCACCAATGTCCCCTTATATGTGCCCCATTTAGCACTCTCCACACTGACCAAGCCATCGTTAACCCCCTCCAGCTTCTGCACAATCTTATGTGGTTGCCGAAATGCGCTCCAAAGGCTAGGATTGATTGTAGCCCCGTAAGAAAAGTACCTAACTCCTCTGGCATCTGGTGTCTTCGGGTTGAACTCCTCAGCCATATACTTTCTTGTCAGTTGGCTGAATGCGCCCGTACTTATTCCCAATCTATCGAATAATTTGTAGAAATGGGGCAGGTAGCTGGGACCAATCTCCTGGAAACAATAATCCGCAAAAGCAGATCCTCGATGTGGAGTAGCGACCGTCGTCAGGGATAGCACTTCGACGTTGTCAGGGTGTAGGCGAGAGATCATGTATCGAGCATCCAGACCACCCATACTGTGTGCTATGATATTGACGCTCTTTCCATTCGCCTTCGCAGCTATATCTTGTCCTAATTTCGCCGCGCGTTCTTCGATTGAACCCAGAGCAGGGACTGAGGCAGTGATGACTTCAATGCCGTTTGCGCGCATGGCTTCCGTGATCCCACGCCAATAGTGAACCGGTGGAATAGACAAGAACTTCGGGACTATTTGGAGCTCGTCGAAGCCCATTAGACCGTGTGCGAGGACAATTGGGTATTTTGGAGTAGCTGTTTTCCTCAGTAACAGTCAAAGTGGGAAAAGTTCTAGGACTTACCATAATTCTGTCGAATTGTTGCAAAGTCGTCCTCAATGACCCTGCCTAAGATATTGATTCTCGGATCTCTATCTGTCTTCTTTCCTTTCTCTGCCATATGCATACATCGATGACAGGAAAAAGTCCTGGTTTGACAAGGCGATGACATGATGATGTTTCTTGCGCAGAGGCGCACATCTTGAGAACCCCATCTCATGCTTACTGCACGAGTTACCAGTATCGTCATCGCCGAAGCTTATACATTGAGTTTTGGAGCGTTGTTGGGGAAATGCCATTTTGAGGAAGTCGCGTTGGGAGAAAGTCTTGTCGACTTTCGCGATGGTGTCAGTGACGTCGACTGACTCCATTCGACCCCTGCAAGCATGTGACTTGAGGCAGCAAATAGAGCGGTCGCAAACAGCTTCAATTGAACATCGGGAAGGCTTATGGTGTGAGAAAGATATCATGAACTGTACTAGCAGGGTGCTTTTACAATGTGGATCTCACAAAGAACGACGAGCGATATCTGCATGCCTTCGACAACAAGGATATCATTGAAAGAGTACCCAGCACACTGCCACTATGCAGCTCCCTCGTAGGCCTGCAAACTTCTCATTCCAAGTCCAATGCCATTCAGCGGTCATGCAAACATCCATCATGCCGTGATAGTTCTAGGTGGTACAAATCCAGCCTTCTGCCCCAAGAACGTAATCCTCCAGTCTATTTTGGCTTCTCAATACGTTCTGGAACGACAGGTGTAATTTCGAAAACAGCCTTCAATAGATCTTTGACAACCTGGTCTTGCCCCGTCTTGCCAGCCTCCTTGATCTCCTTCATCTTGGTCTCAGCATCTTTATTTGCATCTTCCTCAGCCTTCTTGTTGCCGCTGGTGTGCTGCAGATCACATAATCAGTATTTATCTTCATATCAAAACTTCTCCAATCGCTGCAATTCCCAAAATAATGAGGGGAACAAGGAATGCCAAGCTCACATACTTCGGCCTCAAACTTTTTGAACTCCTCGTCCTTAGATTTCCGGTATGCCTCGATCTCCTTCTTGGCCTCATCTCTTGCCTCCTTTACGCGCTTTGTGCGGTCTGTTTCGGTCAGGTTTCCTTCCTTCTCGAGTTCGTATGTGCTTGCGTAGAGCTCTACTCACATTCTCTAGCTACGGTGAAGTCAGCACTCCGTAATAAATTCATTTTGCATCCGCACGCGAAAGATACCTCTTTGAACGATCTTCTGAGCTTCCCTCTCAGCCTGTACTCCATCAGCTTTGTCCCTTTCGATTCCCATCACAGTCTCTTGCGAAGGATGCCTACATCAAGCAGAGTCTGGATTCCCGCCGAATTCTGTGCCGACTTCGAACAGATTAGTCCTAAAGGCCGTATCAAGCTGGAGAAAATACACACCATCTTACGAGTTCCTTCGTTCCTTGGAAACTTGCGTGGTGTGGTTGGGGCTGTTATCGCTGGAGGTGCAGATAGAGAAGTCGAGGGTAGCTTCGCTCCAAAAGCAAAGCTCCGAGACCCCTGCTCGGCTACTTTAGTCCACTTCTTTCATCGCAACTTCCACTCCTGTTCACAGCTCCAAATTCTTCGCTATGTCGCCCTGAAATTCAATTGCATGGTCTGAGAAGTTTCAATCAGAGGTCTGTAACGAGAAGGTCGCCATGTCTCGTGCAGCCAAACTCACCCTCGCGGGGACGTCCCTCTTCGCAATTGGCACCATAGCGTTCGTACACCACGCCCAACAAGCTGAGAAAGCTGTATGTCCTTTATCTACTCTCACAAAATTGCAGAATGTGTGCTAATACGTAGCCAGGCCATGCACCAGGGTGTGGTTCGGGATGTGGAGCAACAGCGATTAAAGAAAGAACGGCAGCTGGATTTCGAGATGCAGAAAGCATTGGAGGAAGAATACAAGAAGATACAAAGTGTCCATGATGGAGGAACGGTTCTGGACAAACATCGATGATACTCTCCTCTTCTCCTTCCCTCTATCAAAATCTCCTCGGTGTACAATATGGGTGTACTTTACTAGAACAGGCATTTGGGCGGCGAATGGGCTCATTTCTCGGATAAGATGCACATCACAGGAGGACACGAGAAGAGTTCAGATCATCTGCGTTCATTTCCCTGAGATCTAGATATGGTACAACATGGGCTTCTATAAAAGAGTGCCCAAAGATTCTGTCTCCTCTTTCCGCTTGGTTTGCGCTTCCTATGGCAAACAGGCCCCCCAGCATTACTATGCAAATGCTGTCGAAACCATTTTCTTGCATTCTCGCTCCTTCCCAAACGCCTAGTATGCAAAGATTTTGTCCCTCCTCAATCGCATCTCCTTTTTCTCATCATACATGCTTACGTCTCCACTCCATTTCTCCACCAAACGCTCAACGAACTGAAATCCCGGATCTCTTGGTGAACATTCTTGACGCGATGTTCATTGATGCCAGCTCTTGGAAAAGCAGCTTAGCAGCATACGGAATATGAATCTGAGAGATCTTTGTTTTGTTCTTGCAAGGTCTGCACTCGAAGGATTGCGTAGAAAGTTTGCTGTTAGAGGTTAGCAACAGGCTGGCAAAGTACAGCAATCGAAACTTACGCAATCGGTGTCATGAGTCCACAGATGTCACACACGTGGACTCTGAAAGCATCCGAGACCTCGAACAATCTCTCCTTTAAGAAAGCGCTTGCTCCATGCGAGATCATACAATCACGCTCCATTTCTCCGAACCGCAGTCCACCATCTCTGGCACGACCTTCCACTGGCTGTCTAGTCAAAATCTGAACTGGCCCTCTGGCTCGTGCGTGGATTTTGTCATCGACCATATGGCGAAGACGTTGGTAGTATGTTGGACCCAGGAATACTTGTGCCATAAGCTTACGTCCAGTATGGCCATGATACATGATCTCAAAGCCACGAGATTGATATCCATGGTCACGCAGGAGTTTGGATACAGAGTCAACAGTGACTTCAGTGAACGGAGTAGCGTCTCCTTCAAGGCCTCGGAGTGTAGACACCTTACTCAATTGACACTCGATCAAATGAGCAATCGTCATTCGGGACGGGATGGCGTGAGGATTGATGATCAAGTCTGGTACTATGCCCTGCCTCGTGAATGGCATGTCCTCTTGCCGGTAGGTGATACCTATCGTTCCTTTCTGCCCGTGACGAGACGCAAATTTATCACCGATTTGCGGAATCTTGGTTGTACGCATTCGCACCTTGACGAAGCGGAGACCCTCTGCATTGGTTGTGATGAGAACCTGGTCCACGATACCGTTCTCCGTGCTACGCAGAGGAGTGGATGCATCTCGCTTGACGTGTGCCTTTGTGCGCTGGCCGAGTTCTTCAGCATCTGGTGCAATTGGGGCAGTCTTTCCGATGATGATATCCTCTCCGGAAACACGAACACCGGGCGCGACGATTCCATCGTCGTCGAGCTTATCGTAAGTCCCATGCTTCAGTTTCAGGGTATCCTGTCTGAAGGGCTTCTCGAACTGTTCAACCACGTTC